GAAAGAAAGAAAGAAAGAAAGAAAGAAAGAAAGAAAGAAAGAAAGAAAGAAAGAAAGAAAGAAAGAAAGAAAGAAAGAAAGAAAGAAAGAAAGAAAGAAAGAAAGAAAGAAAGAAAGAAAGAAAGAAAGAAAGAAAGAAAGAAAGAAAGAAAGAAAGAAAGAAAGAAAGAAAGAAAGAAAGAAAGAAAGAAAGAAAGAAAGAAAGAAAGAAAGAAAGAAAGAAAGAAAGAAAGAAAGAAAGAAAGAAAGAAAGAAAGAAAGAAAGAAAGAAAGAAAGAAAGAAAGAAAGAAAGAAAGAAAGAAAGAAAGAAAGAAAGAAAGAAAGAAAGAAAGAAAGAAAGAAAGAAAGAAAGAAAGAAAGAAAGAAAGAAAGAAAGAAAGAAAGAAAGAAAGAAAGAAAGAAAGAAAGAAAGAAAGAAAGAAAGAAAGAAAGAAAGAAAGAAAGAAAGAAAGAAAGAAAGAAAGAAAGAAAGAAAGAAAGAAAGAAAGAAAGAAAGAAAGAAAGAAAGAAAGAAAGAAAGAAAGAAAGAAAGAAAGAAAGAAAGAAAGAAAGAAAGAAAAGAAAGAAGCAGCCTGTTCTCTGTGGTAATTCACAGGATGGTTCCTTAAGTGAAAACATCCTAACCATGGAAATCTTATTCCCACAAACATTTTTACATTTTAAAAATGAGATTTTAAAGAAATCATTGTTTGTTCACTTGGACTGGTTAATTGTATTTTAATTTAGTAATTGAAAGCAGATACCCACTAATCTTCTCTATAAGCACAGAAAATATGGTGGAACAGGAGCTGTACTTCTAAGCCCCAGATGTAGCTCACAGAGAATTTTTCAATTATTTCTCTGATAGGTGCTTAATTCGATGATATAAATTAATGTTTATCCTCCAAAAACAGGATTATTTATCTGACAATGGCTATAGCAGTTCTTTAGGCAGTTACTGAATGAAATCTGTCACTATTTGCTTTTGTTACATCCTGAAGATCAGAACAACAGAGCCAAAGGCTGGTTACAGGTCAGAAACCTTTAGACTGAACTTGAGACAAATGATTAGAGTATCCAGGGTCAGCTGCAGAGTTGCAGAAAACTTATACAATATTTACATTTTGCTATGGTGTCAGCAAAAAAAATATACCAAACTGAGGGATTTCAAAAGAAAGAGCTTTGCTTTGCATTTGCTTACATCCAAGCTGAAAGCCGTACTTGGGACTAAACCCAAGCAAAATGACTTATATGAAGTCTTGATAAGTGAAACTCTCTAGTGCGGATTTTCTGACATAACTTTGGAATACATCCCTGTGTGCAATTCGCCCGCTCCCCAACCCCCCCAAACACACACACACACACCAAAAAAAAAAAAAAAAAAAAAAAAAAAAAAAAAAAAAAAAAAAAAAGTACGAAGCTGTATCTGTGACAGGTTTTTTTGTTTAAATCGGTAAGTGAAAGTGCAGAATTGATTAAGGTGTGCTTTAGAAAAATACCAAACAAAACCAATTATTTTTCAAAGAGCCAGTCGGTGGGGACACAATGAGTCAGAAAGCATTGGTTCTGCTGCAGGCAACCTGGATGGATGAAGACCCTTTCTGCATCAGTGAAAAAAAGCTACTGCTTCCAAAATACAAGGATATTTCACCTGTAAAGATAACAGCATAAGTTTCCCTTCCCTCTGGCAAGGAACTTGGGCAGTGATCGTGCTTCAGAGGAGGACTGGAAGGACAACATGTCCTCATGTTCTTCCTAGAACAAGATGTCCTGGTCTTCTCAAAACCCTGTTTGTAATCCCCAATCTAGCTCCAAGTAAAGACTGTAAGAACAAGCAGCATGGTGTGACATGTTCTTTGTAAATAGATCATTTATTTGTGGTTGTACCCACCTACCAGTACGGACAAAACAGACTTTCATCAAGTTGGCACTTCCTGTTTTTTCCTCTATGTCTTCCAAAACTTTACATGCTCTTACAGAGTGACTAAAACACTTGGAAACTTTGTGAGACTCTTCTGGAAGAGGTATAAGAACACTGTTATTCTTGGGCTGGCACAATAGTCCTGCAATTTGTTCTTCCCCCTCCAAAGTGACAGAATTAGTTTTGCATCCCAAAAAAGTTATCTTATTTCCTGTTTCAGACCAATCTGAGAACAGTCTAGATGGGACTCTTTCAGACGATGCTGCAGAATTCTGACACTCGGTATTTCCAGCCAAAAAGATAGAGATTGGTCTTCCCAGTTTAGATATCTATCGACTGTTGTGTGATCTTTAATGATGTTAGAGAGGCAAAAAGACAACTTTCAGAAACTCAATCTCCATGTTTAATACAGACATTGTTTGCCTTCATTTTTAATGAGTTGTGACATCTATGTAGTCAGCTGCTGCTCTGTGTCCTGGTTTGGGATGCATTCATGCTTTCTCACCATTCTTCAGGATGCTCAGGAATGGCAGATACCAAACAGTGAAGATTACCAATTACAGATCAGAAAATGTGGTTGAAGCAGCTTATCGAATCAAAAAACATAAACTGTTTGAACATATTCTCCTCGCATACATAAAAAGAGATCGCAAACCATGCACCTCCAATTAAAATATGGTTGTCTTATGGAAGGCAGGAACATTGTATTAGTAGGGTTTTTTCTACTATGACTTTCATAAATCTTATCCCTTTGTTTCTTGATTAGCATTTTTAAAAATACTTAATACTATTGAACAAATTATTAATTTTTTCATTGTCAATTGTTCACTCGGCTCAGGATGATCATAAAAGTTCTTTCTGACCTTTAAAATCTATCAGTCTCTGCTCTCTGTTCAATCCAATTTGTCAGAAAGACCGTAAATCTCAAAAAGCCTGGCTCATGCTCTGCTTCTCTAATGAAATCCATGAACAGGCACGCTCTGCCCTGTGACGGGTTTGACTAAACCTTCCACATCTCCTGTCAAATATGGCTGTCGAGGGATGGATATCCAGCTTCTTCCAAAGCCCTGACTTTACATTATCCCAGTATTACTACTAGAAAGGAGCCTCACTGGGCCAGAACAATCTGTGAAGAGTGTTAATTTCTCAATCCCTTTCAAAAATAGCAAAAAAATGTCTAAAAGAGAAGATATCTAGAAGGCCACTGTCACCAGTGAAGGGAACTCTATGAAGATCTCTTGATCAATGCCTTAGACAGAGTCTACACTTAAAAAAAAAAAAAAAAAAAAAAAAAAAAAAATAGTGCGAAACAGGGAGGAAGGGAACTTTTGTTGATTTGAAGAGATCTATTCAGATTTTGAGGTGACTTTGCTTCCAGCATATGGTTGTCATTAAATTATTGTAATTTTGTCACACTACACAGTTGGTACCACTTCAGGCTAACTAAAGCTCTGTAAACAAATGTGAAGATCTAAGGAAGGTTACTCTGAATTTAATACTGGTCTCTGAGAAAAACCTGCCCCTAGGACTGCAGGCACTCTGCGTATCCACCCCAGGATGCCCCACAAACTCAGCACTGCTGTCCACTTGCTAAATTTGCTGACATCCAGTCTGACAATACAACTGTTCCTCTGAGTGCTCCTAGTTTGCTTTGGGCATGTCAGCTGACTTTGCTTAACCATTACAAATAGCCAGGTTGCCAAGATGTATTTACACTACTTAACGTAATCTGACTTTTTTTTCTAATGTGATTTCAGGAGCAGTCAT